TGTCACCTAGGCGAAACCTTCAGGAGATTTTGTTTCCAGCGAGACCACAATCATCCTAGTTCCTGTCCCTGAACAGGTGGAGGGGACAATGGCTGTCCTATAAAATCCTTCTCTGCTAAATTTCTAACACTAAAAAGAGTAAGTGTGGCTACTGGGATAGGAAGTCCTCTGGGTCCCTCTGAGACTGTTATGTAGAAGGTCAAAATTTAGAAGGCAGATTGTGCAATAGGCAGTCTCTAGACTTTGATTTCCTATCTGCAAAATGTGAATGAGAATTTCTATATACTGGACGTGCTGGGGAGAGTGTAAAATTTGAACGGAGTGTTGTCTCTGAAAGCCAAGCACTGAAAACTGTTATTATAAGTGTTACTGGAATTAGAGGTGATGGAAGAAGGGCGGTTTTAGTCTGAGCTTCCATGGAGTCATCCCTTCCTTGTTTGCAAAGGGGACTATTGGTAGTTGCCTTGAAGGATTGTGGCAAGGTTTAAATCAGATAACATGCTCAAGAAGGCCAGGTCACTCCACACCCCAGGTTCCAGCTTTGGGAAGGAGACAGCATTACAAAATTCCACCTCCCAAGGGCCCAGACTCCATGGCCTTGCCTCCTCACCAACAGCTGGCTGACTACAGAGCTGAGTGAGTAGACCTCCCTGTCCCTGATGGAAGGGATGCCATGACAGCAAAGGCCATTCCTACTACAGGTGGGGAGCTTATGGGTGACCTTGTGGGCCAGAGGCTTTCTTTCCAGGGATCACAGCAAGGCCTCTTCTGGACACAGAGGTCAGCCAAAGTCCATCAATAGGCTAATGTCCCCTACAAGCTAGTGAACTGTGTTCATTGAAGGACAAAATAATAATGTCCTCTTATGACTGATGACGGTTGTCAGCCCTCAGAACTTTCACTCATCCCAAAAGGTCTGAGGAAAGAAACGATGTTTGCTCATTGTGTCATACAAAGTCCCCATAGGGAACTCAATGTACAGTGTAGGCACTATAAAGGGACTTCCAGCAGCGCTATGGGGCGGGGGTGAGTGGGGGCACAGGGGCCACACTGCATGTGCAAGTACCCAGAGACCAGCAATAGAGGGAAGTGATCATCTCCAGGGCTGAAGGGGCAAAAGGGAGGACACCTGCAGATCCCAGAGGCAAAAATCCCACAGATGCTGCCCACTAGGATCTGGCATGATGGAGAGTGCAACTGCAAAGGGAAAGACAGGCAGACCAGAGGGCCGGGAAGAAGTGGCCTACTTCTCTCTTCCCATAACCAGAGCAACCAATGGACACCTTTTGGCTAAACACAGCCAGAGGCCAAGGCCAAGGCTAGGAGTCCCAGGGGAAACTCTGTGGTTCAGAGCAGAGGTTAGTGAGGGCAAAGAGAAGATCTAGGAGACAAAATGATCTACACAAATGCTCAGGATGGGGTATTATTGTTACTGCTCTTTTGAGACCAGATCTTACTATATAGCTCAGACTGGCCTCAAGTTCCTGGCAGTCATTCTACCTCTGCCTCCCAAGTCCTGGGATTACAGGCATGTGCCACTTAAGGACTGTGTTCAGGAACAAGCACAATAAGCAGGCCATAATCCTCCGATGATGGTGACAAGCTACCACAAATCTGAGGGCTTAAAGCACATGTGTTTGTTTATGTATCGGTTTACCGTTCTGAAAGCCAGGAGTCTGAACTGGATCAGAGAGGGCTGAACTCAGAGCTGTGACCCCTCTCCAGGCTTCAAGAGGAACTGGTGCCCAGGCCTCTTCTAGCTCCAAGGGCCATTTGTGTCACTTAGCTGGTAGTCTCTCAGCACCTCAGGTGAGTCTCACTACATCTCTTTGTGGTGCTGGAATCCAGACCTTCACATATTTGAGACAAGTGCCCGACTGTAGAAATGCATCCTGAACCCTCTCTCTACATTTTATTTTATTTCACTTTATTTTTGAGGCAAGGTCTCATGGCTAGCCTCTAGCTTCCTAGGTGGCTGACTGTGACTTTTGAACTTCTGATCCTCTACCCTCTAAATGCTGGGATTATGGGCATGTACCACCATACCTTGTTTGCATGGTGCTGGAGATAAAAAATGAGGCTCTGTGCATACTGGGCAAGCAGTCTACCAACTGAACTACATCCTTATTTGTGAGACAGGGTTTCCCTAGATCACGCAGGCTGGCCTTGAACTCACTCTGTAGCCAAGGAAGATGTTGGTCTTGAGACCCTCTTGCCACAGCCACCTAAGTAGCTGGGATTAAAGGCCTGATCCACCAGGTCTAACTCCAACTTTCTTTTGAATCTGACCCTCCTGCCTCTATTTTCAAAAGACCCTGGGATTATTCTAGGTAGCCTAGGATCGAGTCCCCATCTTAATTAAGCCTCAAGCAAGATCCTCCACTTAAGTATATCTGCCCAGTCCCTCTTGCTGTGTAAGGTAACCTTTTGGGTTCAGTGGACAGGACATGGATATTTGGAGGGCATCGTTGACCTACGACACTGATGGAGCACCTCTCCAGTGCCTTGGCCCTTGCTGTTCATTTCTGCCTTACCCAGGGTACATGGTAACTGTCCTTCTAAATCAGGGCTTCATTCCTGCTGGTGCTGTGTCCTGAAATTCTCTTCCTCCCTTTGGCCTTCTTAGAAACACTCAGGCGTGACCTTAAATAATTTCCTGCAGGGGCTGTGAGTGTAGTTCAGTGGTAGAGCACTTGCCTAGCACACACAAGGCCTTTGGTCACACCTCCCTGCCACCCCCCCCCCAGTGTCACAAAATATAATAAAAGCATCTCCAAAGTGCTACCCATGGCTGCCCAGTCTCTGATGGCTATTTCACAGCTTCATCTCCCAATGGGATTGCCACTGTCTGCACTTCCTTTTGGTCCCAGTGTGCCAAACAGCTCTGGGACAGCTGTGTTCCAAGGCCCAGTGGAGTCCAGCATCCCGGAGGTCTCACCCCCAGCAGCAGCGCAGAGTTTAGGCTCTCACCCTCTGCTTACTCCAGGGCTGAGAACTCTTCCCCTCCTTCTCTGTTTCACTTCCTACTATATTACTTTTCCATTTCCTAGCTGCTTCTTCCTTGAAGGGAACAGAAAAACCCAAGCCTGGCAGTCCCTCCCGGGGCCAAGAAGGAAATAAGGAAATGACTCACATTACTGCCTGCAAGGTGAAGGCAGAGGGTCATATTACCACCACCCCCTGCCCTAGTCAGGACCAGATTCCTGGCAGATCTTCTGCCTCCACTCCTCTCCCCCACCCCTTTGTTCACTGTCTTCCTCTGCCTGGCATCTTACTCCAAGGGCCCCCAGAATGTTCTAGGCAGACCCTTTTGTTGATGGTTGAACAAGTCAAGGCCTGAGAGAGAGAGCTTCCCCTAGGCACACAGCACCTGTATTCAGGGTCTTGTTCCGGGATACTGGAGTCCACTTCCTTCTAGGACAGACTTGAACCATGGGTGCTAAGGTCAGCACAGACAGCCCAGCCCTCGCTGAGGCCAGCCTGGCGCCAATGGTCCAGAGATGATGTTACTAGAGTTTACAAACCTCCAGTGAGGCACAGGATCCACCCCTTCCCTCAATAGCAGGGGAGGAGGTCATGCCTTCCAGCTCCCTGAAGGCCCTCAGCTCTCCCCAGGCACACATTTTCTTCCTCCATACTATCCTAGGATCTGCAGGTCAGTGACACAGGGACCTGGGATGGGTGGCATGGGGAGGTTAGAGCTGAGAAGCCATGGTGATGACCGATGGACATGGCCTCCAACAAAAATCACGAGGCACTGGAAATTTTCCATTTTTGAAATTTAGAATAGAGGCAGGACTTGATCTCTGGGTGACCCACATTCCGAACCTACAGGTGGCCTTCCAGAGTGGACAGCCTACACAGCTGCACAGGGCCCTCACTTAAAGGGGCCCTTTGCAGTTTAAAATTCTTTTATCTCTATCTCAAAATTCCATTTTTAAAAAAAAAATATTAAGACCCACCACTCTGTTTTACACTGGACCCACAAATTATGAAGCCAGCATGAATACACAGCCTCTCAACTCCCACCCAACCCATCCTCTAAAGTGGCTATCACTTGTGAGTTCTGGAGTGAGAGGCTAACTCCCGGATTAAGATGTTTGGGATTTCCTAGGAGCCCTTTGAAGGCCACATCAATGCTAGAGGGGCTTCCAGGCTGGAGTGAGCTGGAGAGATGTTTGGAGGAATCTTTAAATCTAACCCAAGCAGCTATTGGGGCACAGAAGGCATCAGGAATGAGCTGAAATTTGGGGCCACACAGATTTAGTCCAAGTCTTAGTTCTATTCCTTACAGTCTGTGTGATTTGGGGAGGTTACTAAGTGTCTCTGTGTCTCAGTTCAAAAGCAAAATGAGGGTCACAATTACACCAACCTTGGAAGTTGGGAGGAAGATTAAATGAGATAGAGTGTCTAACAGGCTTAGAATGGAGCCAGGCAAACAGTGAGCTCTCGATGACAGTGACTGATTGTGATCGATGTCTGGGCTCTATTCTCAGCTGTGCTACTTATTCAAAGGTGAAATTGGCCTCTCTGTGCCTCATCTGAGTGTCCCCATGAGCACTGGCATTACAAGTGTCCTTCCCAGCCTCCTGGAGATCTCATCCCCCTATGCCTGCTTTCATGCCAGCCTGTGTGGGTGTAAGGAGAAATTGTTTCTGGGCTTGCCTTCCCCACTTAGACCAGGGTCTAGTTCTGCTGGTGTCAGCTGAATGAAAGATAAAGGAGGAGAGAGACAAAGGAACTTTGGTTCCTAGAGTGAGCTGCTCACACTCTAGGACAGTAGCCACTATACCCTGATATTTTCGATTCTCTTTCCCCAGATCTGTTCCTCCTGAAAGGATGCAGAGGCTAACAGAGCTGGCCGCTGCTTTGGGTATCTTCTTGGGCCTGCTGGCAGCGGCGGGGCAGGGAGGGGCCCAACCCTCCCCCCCACACACCCCCC